CACCACAGCCCCTGCAGCACTGGAAAACACCAGAGGAATGTGGCTGCACGGGGCGGCACAACACCCCAGTGATGCTCACCCATACACCTGCTCATCATGGCCCAGAGTGGAGGAGAGACAGAGCGGGGGGATTCAGACACCGGGGATAACCCTGGGGTTTTATGTGCCTTGAAGGAAGTAGTGAACTCGAGAGGGCCCCCCCCATTCCATTCCAGGAAGAAGAAGAATCTGTCCTGCTGGCATGCCTGGAAGCAGCATTTCCATTACAGCAGCCACACTGAACTTACTCTAGAGCATAGCTGCACAGCACCACACACAGGCTGGAGCCCAGGGTGTGCATGCACACACAGGGTCCGTCACCATCACTGCGGGGGCAGGGACTAGTAGTGGGCACTTGTGAACGCAGGCACCCCACACAGCACAGGGTGCACGGCTCCATGGCTCCCCTGCCACTACCCACTAGCCCCCTTCACGCAGTCCCCACCTTGCCTTCCTGCCTCTCATCTTCCCTGCTCCCTGTACACTCTGTGCTCATCCCAGGCACTGCTTTCACGCTGTGGAGATGTGCAGTGCATGTTCTTTGCTCCTGTGCGCAGCCTGGGGCTGTGGGCTTCACCCCAGTGCAGTCCCAGGCTGGACACATGTGCAGAGCTGCTGCTATCCCCAGGGATGTTCAGGGCTACTGCAACCACACTGAAGAGTGGGGTAACAAGCACAAACTGCCGCTTTTCATAGAGAAGCTGGCATCATGTATGCTGGGCTTGGGGTAGGCTGGCAGGAGAGCTGCTGTGCTTCTTTGTACCCTCCCTGACCAGAAAAGCGCTTGTGAGGCTTGGCAAAGACATCTCAGAACATCTGCTGCACCTCTGTTGTCCCAGCAACCATGTTTTGCTGTGGGACAGGGCATTTCCATGTGGATACACCCCTGCAGTGCTGGTAGTGACCACATGCTGCTCTTCGGGGGGGAAGTGGTTGCCCCATGGCAGCAGTTGGCTGAAACATTGACCTCAGCGTGGACCTGGAAAGCCAAATCACACTGAAACAAATCCTTCCTTGAGCTGCAGGATTCATAAACCTCTGTTTGGCACATATTCACATCCTCCCCTGGGTTCTGCCATGCTCCTCAAGAACTTTGCTTTTCTTCCAAGTGAAGAAGGGTTTACAACCACCCTCTTCCTGCTCATACAAATGTCTTGTTACAATACCAGCAAACTTGTACTCTGTTGCACCCTGATGGCTTGTTTCGGCAAGTATTTGAGATGTTTATGATCTCTTCCGACTGCCAAGTGTGATTACAGACTTACAAGTTATTAGCCATGGTGGGTGGACAGATCTATTCATGTGCACCAGAACAGTAGTCACTCAGCAGGTTTTTGGAGGGAGAAGGAGGCTAAAAATTAGCTTCACTAAAAGAAGAGTATCACCCCCACAGTGAAGCCAGGGAGCTAAATATGGTTCAGGTATGACTGAAAAAGTGAGATCTCCAAGGACTCTTCAGAGGTTGCACTGGGTGGAGATTGCAATGGTGAAAAGCTGGAGAGGGCTGATGTGCAGTGTGCACAGCTGGACCTTGCCCGAGGATTTGCATGTATTCACATTTCCTTTAAGGTCTGTGTCTCTATTTCCTCATTCACAGGTACTGTAGGACATCTGACCTCTGTAACAAAAAAAGGTGTGCCACTACATAATTAGATGTGGATACCTATATTTACCCATACATACGTGGCTGCATACTTGTGTGTGTCCAGAGTACAAACGATTGATCTCTGACTGCAACAGAGGCTTCTTTCATCACAAAGCCCCTCTCTGCTTCCAGATCTGTGTTGAGTAGGAGCAAGATGGTGGTCCCGTAGGAAAAGCATCAATATTTTCATACCATTCACACAAAACATAGCAGGCATTCATGGCAGGGTGCCACAAAGGACCTGTGGAAAAATGTGCTGGACACTTCCCGTCCCTCGGGTGTTTGTGTGAGCACTGTGTTGCAACTTCTTTTGCTATTGCTAGCTAAACTTAGTAAGTGACGTACATAGCAGTGTCACAGGAAATTTACCTTAAGTCACAGTTGAGGTCTGACTCTCAGTGCTCAGCAGGAAACTTCCCCTACAAGTGCCCAGTTCAAAGCTGAAAGAAAGGGAGGAGATTTGATGAGCACAAGTCCAGATACTTGCTGGCAGCATGAAACATGGGAACTCTGGGCTGATTTGTGAGTTCTGAGGACCAGATTATCTGCTGAGAGTCGCATTGCTGGGTTGCCTCCTGCTGACTGATTCATAAAAGATGTCTGGAGAGCCTGGATGCTTAAAACTGGGTTTGCTCATTGAAGTAGGCAATTCATGAGCTGGTCATTAGCTGAATGTTGACTAAAAGTATCAGCAGTAATGGCATTAGTGTCATGGACACCAGCATCTTCATTGTGATGCTTACAACATCAGGTTTAACTGAAGCACAAGGTGATTATTTGACTTACTTGACCTTGTGGAAGGTGTCAGAAAGAACCGAGAAATGTGTAAATGAACAGAAAAGAGGAAGCAGATTTTTCTGTTCATGTGCCTTGACTGCAGGATAATTCTCCTTGAGCTTCCTCATGGCAGAGGTGATGCCCATCTTTCAAAGGAGGTTTCGGGGGGTTAGTGAAAGTCACTTAGGAAGTGCAAAGAGACCCTCAGACCTGAAGTCAGATCTTTGTCCTGCCAGAAACAGGAAATCCCTTTGTCCCAGAGCAAGGTAGATTTGTCGAGATTCACAAAGATCACTGAACATTTCAGCTTTTAAAGATGGGTGCGTCCTCCCACTGGTGGCAATAGCCATACTTCCTGGGCACTCTCTTCCTGTTTCTGCTCTCTTATCACAAACCAAGACTGTGCCCTGCTGGTTTTCACCATGGCCAGTAGTAAAAAAGTATATACACTTGCTTGTGTGTAACACTGAACAGCTGTAGTCCATGGGACCAGATAACAAAACAATCTGTCAAGGTCCAGCCAGTCCAAACCTCAATACAAGCCAAGAGAAGCACGTGTAGCATCTATCTCACAAAAGAGTGCCAGTCTTGAGACTGAGGAACAGAAGTGTTGGCAGAGGTCGAAGGATGGGACATGGTATGCTTCTTCAAAGACCACAGATGGCATAGTAGCCTGGAAGAGTACTTGTGAGCAGTCACTGAATGAGCACTGAAGGAGCATCCAAACTCCTGGACGGGAGCCCAGCTCCACAGACCAGCACTTTGGCGGCCCACCAAGCAGCACTGGAGGCCACTGAGATCAGCGGACCACAAGGGCTGAGGGCAGTGGGAGTGCTCTGTGTGTGTGTTGGGAAGTAGTTTTAACCAATGAGAAGAGGGTAGATTCACTTCTCCTTTCAGAGACTTGGCTTTCATGAGACCAAGTAAACAGTAACATTAAATAGTAGCGTTAAGGACTACTGGCAGAAGTCCTTATTTGTAGCACTTAAAAACCACTTGAGTGTCACCGGGTGTCCCTGAAGGACTGTGAGGCCCAAGGCTGCCAGACCAGCAGGATTTTGCCTCATCAGCTGTCAGCCTCACCAATGCCCACTGACTTCTCTCCAGCCAGCCGTGAGCAAGGTGCCTGCAGCACTAGGGTGAGTACTGAATTCCTGGCTGTCACTTCACACTTGAGGGCAACGCTAAACACGCTCGCCTGCTGTTGGTTGAGACAGGGTTACAGGGCAGCTCCAAGGAGGCTTCTTTCCATGCTGGTGAGCTTACCACTCGTAAGAGACACATATAACTTTGAGGGATGCTGGATGGTGCCCAGACCTGCTTGCCCAGGCTCTTCTAGTGACCTGATGAAGGACACAAGGAAACTCCTGCCTTAGGAATGTGGGGCAGCTCTGGGACAGGGCACCAGGGAGGTGGAGATCCCCATGCTGGACAGCATTCAAGGCTCAGAGGGATAAAATACAGCGGGCTTTACCTGCTGCTGGCAATAGTCTTGCTCCAAGCAGGATGTTTGGCAGGAGACCTGCAGAAGGCCCTGCAGCTGGCACTGCTGGGGTCCTGTGATTTATTCAACAAGAAGGTGGTCCTGGCCTTTTTCATTTGGCAGAAAACACACTGAAACAAGCTCTACTGAGCTGACAGGAAACTACAGTTCACACTTAGCTGTGCCTAGTGAAGTCTACCTGCAACCCTCCAAGGGGCAGGAGCCCAAAGACAGCCTGTGCTATCTCACAGCAAGCTCACAGGGGCCTCTTAACTCGCTCTGCTATAGCACAGCTGTTTTCCACGCTGCTAGTGACCTGCACGAACCTGCAGTCACCATTACCACGCGGTATCACCGGGAACGGTGCTGGAGAGCCAAGCTAGAAGGGAGCGGTGAGCTCCCACGGACCAGAGCTGGCAGGGGCAGGCAAGGGGACAGCGATGGGGATGCCGGGGAAGGGAATGCAGAGGAGAGACTGGGGGGGGGTGGGGGGGGTGGGATGCCGGGGAGGAGATGCCGGGAGGGGGGATGTCGGGAGGCGGATGCCGAGGCGGGGAGATTGCCGGAGGGAGAGACGCCGGGCAGGGAGATGCCAGGAGAGGATGCCGCCGATGGGGAGAGGCTGGGGCGGGATGCGGTGGGGAATGCAGTGGGGTATGCCGGGGAGGGTGAGGTGGGGGGAATGCTCTGAGGTATGAAGGGGAAGATGCTGTGGGGTATGCCGGCGGGGGATGCGGTGGGGGATGCCTGGGGAGGCGGATGTGGTGGGGGATGCAGTGGGAGAAGCCGGGAAGGGATGCGGTGGGAGACGCCGCGGAGGGGATGCGCGGGGGGTTGCGGTCGGGGATCCCGGAGGGAGATGCGTGGGGGATGCCGGAAGGGGGATGCTGGGGGGATACCGGGGGGCTGCGAGGGGGCTGCGAGGGGGCTGCGAGGGGGATGCCGGTGCTTCCCCCTGAGGCGGGCGGCTGCGGGCGGGGCGCGGGTCTCGGAGCCGCCCCCTACGGGCGGAGCCGCCGCGGTCCCCTCCCCGTCCCTGTCTCCCGTCGTCGGCGCGGGGCGGGCGGCGCACCCCGCCAGCGCAGCGGCATGAAGGAGTCGTCGTTGCCCGGCACCTCGCTGCAGCGGGCCTGCCGCCTCCTCGTCGCCTTCTGCGCCCTCCACCTCTCGGCCACGCTGCTCTACTACCTGGCGGGCAGCGCCCTGGGGCCGCCAGGCAGCCCCGAGCCGCCGCCGCGCCGCCCTCCGCCCGCCAACGTCTCGCTGCCGTTCTCCCGCCCGCCGCCGCCCACCGCAGGGTCCCCGCCCGCCTCGTCGCCGACGGGCCCTTGCCCCGAGCCCTCCCCGCTGCTCGGTGAGTGCCGTCCTGTATGGGCTTGGGGCCCCGCTTCCCTTCCTCCTGCCGCCCGACGGGTGCCCGGCGCCGTCCGCTCCGCGGGGAACACGGGGCTGGGGGAGTGCCGCGAGTCCGCGCCCCTACGGCAGCATCCGCTGTGGGGTCCCGCCGCCGTGCGCCGTGCGCCGGTGTCCCTGGTGGGCGCGGGGTGACAGCGGCGTGGCTGTCCACGCGTGTCGCTGGCCGCAGGGGGATTGTGGGAGAATCCCGGGGGAGCTGGTGTCGGAGGGGATGCTCGCGCAGGGAGTCAGCGAAGAGCGGAGCCGCGGCGCTTTCGGGGAGCGCGCCCTCCCCGTCCGGCTGGGTTTCTGGTTGCCGGAGCGGTTGGGTAATTTCCTCTGGGAACTCTACCCAAAATACTGCTCTTGCGCAATCTCACAGGAAGGCTCAGACGGGCTGCTGGCGCTGTGTAGGCTCCCGCAGCCTTTTGTGTGCGCGGACCTGCTCGGTGAGCAGCACGGATTTACAAAGCGCTGTGAGGCAGGGTCATGAATACAGTTGTTATGCATCCCAGCGGCGCTTCCCACGTATTTGGTGCTGTGATGCGGTATCCTGATACGTGGCAGCCTGGCCTGTGTTTTATCTGCACTGGAGCTGTGCTCCCCCCAGGACAGCCTGGGTGCTGGCAGGCGGTTGGCAGGTCTGCAGCCGGCTGGTGGTCTCCGTTTCTACACTGAGCACCTGTATCTGGTTGGATCCACTGCCTTTGTCAGGAGGCGGCGGTGGAGGGGAGGTGGGTTTCGGCTTTTTCCCTACCTTTACAACTCTCTCGCCCAACCTCACATTTTGAGCTGCTGCTCTTGAATAGATCCTCCTGTGGCACAGGTAGAGTTCACTACCACAGCCTGAGCCATCCCAGTGGATAATGACCCAGCCACAGGCTAATCGGGCCCTGCAGCTTGGGGATCATCTCCCTCTTCATCAGTGTGCCACGTTAGCACGGGCACCTTTATTACCAGAGATCACAGAGGGGGAAGAGACTTTAAAGAAGCTACCTGTGGTTTTCAGTTTACAAAACCAGCACAAATTCATAGATTCTCTGGGTGCTCACTGGTCAGCTGTTTATGGATCAGTGCATCTGCATAACAAATGACTGGCTTGTTATTTTAGGAAGGTGGTTTTGAGGTTGCTAAAAGGAACTGTGCTATGTTTTTTGTTGTTGTTTTTTATTAGTATCTTTCACTTTTTTTCCCCCGATCACTTTAAGTTGAAAGTGGCTTTTCAAGCCTGTCCTCATGAAGTAGATGTGGGAGTCTTTTATGAATATGGCTTTGCTTTAAACGGTCTCCACTTACCCTGATCCTCTCAAGAGGGAGTCATGTGCTTTTTAAATGCCTGGAATTCAGAGAAATGCTCTTAGTGTCCTCAAGACTGAAAGCATTTATCGGAGTTACTGGCTGAAGGATCTGTTAAAGTATTTTACATTGTCATTGTAACATCTTCAGTGGGATTTGCTGAATCTGCCAAGGGCCAGATGAGGCTATTGGAAGTGGTTACAGATGTTCAGAGAGCTTCAGAGCCACGTAGAAAGCAGCTCTTAACAACACAGTAGGCAGACGGTTTCTGTCTGTGGTACCTTCAGTACTTGCTGGGGTGCAGTTAGTTGGAGGCCAGCATCGTCAGAGCTTCAAGGTTTGTAGCCAACGTGTAGGTGACAACCTTGAAGCCAGTGTGTAGGTGAGAGACCTGATGGGTATTTGTTTTTTCCCCTGCTCATTTCAGGTTTTATTAGCAAACAGCATTTGTAAAGCAACGCAATCATGCCTCAGATGAGTCTGCCCTGATCAGCATCTCCTGTTTCTCCACGGCCAGTGTGGGGATGGAAAGATCTACCCTCCACAGGCATTACTGCCACTTAATTCACCCACACAGAATTAAAAGAAAACCCTCTTCTTTTTTATGCACAAAGCTCCTTATTGGTATGAACGTTCACAAGCAGTAGCCAGCCAGCCCCTTCTTGTAATGCCCACCTTCCCAAAGCTCTGATGGGAGCAGGTAGCTCCAACTGACCTGTACCCTCAGCGTAAACCTAAATTACAAATGCACCTCACCCTGGTTTTTAGTATTTTCTGTCCTCTCCCTCCCCCGTCGTTGGGGAGCATGTGATGAATCACACAGGATATGTGTGACTGAGCTGATCGGGCTTTTTGAAAGGTCACATAGCCAGGTACTCATTTCAGAGGCACACAGTTTTCTTCCTAGTGATGTTTAGAAGAGTAGTTTACAATCCCTGCTTTCTGGCACAGCAGCAAACTCATTAGCTGAATGAGGTTTAATCTCTACAAGGAGCTGCCAAATTTAAAATGCTTTTATGGCTCACTTGCCTCTATTTGTTAAGCATAAATCAGGGCTGGGCAAATAATACTATAATTCAAGTTTGAATTAAAAGTCCTTAACAGCTGTGAAATTCTCTGATACAAGTTAATATAAGCATTGTGGATTTATGCTCAAGTTCAGAGCTGTCTGTCAATGAGTATTTTAAATGGTGTATTGAGAAGCAGAGCCTGCTTGCTGTGGTGAGATTGCAGCCTTCAAGAAGCCCAAAACCAAGTGAATCCAGATATACTCTGTACGTGTCCATTCGCCACACTGTTGTATTCTTTAGGAGCTGTAGAAAAGTAGTGCTTGTTTATTTGGTTTTTAAGAAATTTTGAAGTTGCTCTGTAGAAGCAGGATGTATGTTGGCCTGAATGCCTTCAAAACAGTTGAATGCTTTTCTTCTACCTATTCTACGAGGTCTTTGTGTTTTGATGATGGCATAGTTTATGTGCCTGCTGATTTTAGGAGGGAACATGGGAAGAGACAGCTTCATTGGTAGCAAGATCCCTCTCCAGAAGAGCTCATTTTAAAGCAGACTGTATGCTTTCTGCAGAGCAGAGTCTCATGGCACAGGCTTACCTGTGTAAGGGATTTCAGGGATGTCATTTTCAAGTCCTGCTTGATCAAAAGCACGTGTTGTTTATGAAGGTTATTTTAGAAGACAGCTGTCTCCTAGCCATTTTTGACCCTCGTTCAGATACCAGGTGTGGCTGGTACGGGATGGCAGGCTGAAGAGATCAGTTCATATCCTCAACTCTGTGAGCATCTCATGGCGGAGACAACCCAAGTGCCTTAGACATGTTGCCGTTAGGTGTCTGGCTCAATAGCTTTTCAGCCCCAGGTTTCAGTTTCAGCCCCCCTTAGCCACTAGAAGCTGCTCTAAGGTGTCTCTGGAGCCTTCTCTTCTCCAGTCTGAACAAGCCTGGCTCTCTCAGTGTGTCTTCATAGCAGAGGTGCTTTGGCCCTTTGATCATGGCCTCCTCTGGACTCACTCCAGCAGGTTCACATCCCTCTTGTGTAGTTGTCCCCAGAGCTGGATGCAGGACTGTAGGCAGGGTGACACAAGAAGCAGAGGGTCAGGATCACCTCCTTTGACCTGCTGGTCACGCTCCTTTTGATGCAGCCCAGGATATGGTTGGCTTTCTGGGCTCTGAGCGCACACTGAAGCTGGCTGACGTTGAGCTCCTCATCAGCCAACACTCCCAAGGCCTTCTCTTCAGGGATCTTGGGCATGCAGGAAAAACAACTGCTTCTTTGAAATGCCAGAGTTCTGGGTTCAAACTGAAGCTTCCCGCTGTTGGCAATTCATGTTTAACAATAAAACAAGAATCAAAATGAACAAGCTCCTTTGACCAGCTTGTGGGTGAGCAGCTGTCAGTTGGTTGGTGGACTTACGGCATGGGCTTTGTCTTCCATGCACTGCTTTTGGTGCCTGCATAGTCAGTGTGTGCAGTCACTCTAACCTGTAGATTAGATGAGGGTATTCTGATGCTTTGAGGTTTGGAGGAGGCTTGTGGTGATGCTGACTGCCTGTGTTGCAGAAGTTTTTAGAGGTGGTATGCTGCCTGAGAGAGACACCAGCAAGTTCACAGATAATCTAGATTAAGGCCTCTGTATACATGGACATTTCATGTGCAGGAGTGGAGGATGCTTTAGCACTGGCAGAATCCTAGCAGAGCATAATTTGGGGCCAGAGAGTGGAAAACTCAAGAGGTGCTGGGAACGCTAGTTTTTAAGGAGACTCAGGTGGTGGCTGTGCCAGAGGGGTTTGTTAGGTTTGGCATGCCTGGGGTCTGGTTCCTGTCACATTGCCCACCTGGAGTCATGGGCTCTTGTCTTGCTGGGGAAGATGGATTCTGCCCCAGAAACTGCAGGCTTCTGAATCTGTGAAGCCACTTATGATACCAAGTGGTGGAGAAGGCATTTGCTTTACACACAGCATCTCACCCTCCTCTTACCTGAGCCTGCTATTGTCTGATATGCCTTTTTTGGCTTGTTATTTTGAACCTTGCCAATACAGCTGCTATCTCTGCCTCTTCCCACCACCCCTACCCACCCAGCCTGGGTGCTGTGGGCTTTACTTTGGTGGCTGCAAGTTGGGGTTTGTGCAGTGTCCCCCCACTGCCTTGTGTTGAAAAAGCAAAACAGAAACTCAGAAAAGAGAGCATGGAGAGGGCTGAGGGGAGGGGGAGCTCACATGTGGACTAGTTTGCTCAAGTTTAGGCTTTCTTGGCCTCAAAAGAGGGGTTGAGAGACTGTGTTGAACTCCTCCAAAGGGTATGTTTAAGCTATTTGGCAGGGAACAGATGTGCGATCCGCACAGAACAGCTCCGCAGCTACCCGTGCAGTTGGGAGCACTTGCACCTCTGAAGCGCAGGCTTTCTCTGTGGCCAGGCAGCAGCCTCTGTGGCGAGAGCACCCCTAGCATCCTCTTAGCTGGTCAAAGTGGAGGCCAAGGACTATTCATTGGCCTTGCAAATGGAAAGGTACCGTGCCTGCCTGGAGCGCAGCTGTTTCAGGGATACAGCACCACAGATGGAATGTGCTGGGGAGGAAAGGAAAGTTTCCCGTCTCATGCACGTAGAGTTTTATAATGTGCTCATTCCTCTGCCAGCGTCAATCTGAAGCAACAGCTAGTT